TCTGAATAGTCATTTTCCAAAGAAGACATAAAGATGGCCAACACATTCATGAGAACATACTCAACATCAGCAGTGATCAGGGAAATACAATCAAACCACAATCAGATATCACTACACACCCATCAGAATGACTAATATCAAAAAGACAAGGAATAATAAGTGTTGGCGAGGATGCAGGGAAAGTGAACTTGTGCACTGTTGGTAGGAACATAAATTGGTGCAACCACTGTGGAAAACAGTATGGAGGTTCCTCAAAAAATTAAATATAGAATTACCATATGATCCAGCATCTCACTTCTGGGTATTTATCCAAAGAAAATGAAAACACTACACAAAAAGATATCTGCACCCCTATGTTCATCACAATGTTATTTATAACAGATGAGATATGGAGACAACCTAAATGTACATTGACATTTCAAAGGATAAAGAAAATGTGGTGCATGTATTCCACATGATGGAATACTATTCAGCCATAAAAGAGAATGACATCTTGCCATTTGCGACAATAGGAATGCACCTTGAGGATGCTATGCTAAGTGAGGTAAGTCAGACAGAGAAAGACAAGTACTGCATGGTCTCACCTATAGGTAGAATCTAAAAAACAACCCCCCCCCAAAAAAAGCAAAAAACCAGGCTCATGGATACAGAGAACAGATTGGTGGTTGCCAGAGGGGGTGGGGGGATGGATAATTGGACATTTGTATCTTTTGACTCCAGTTATAAAATAAGTAAGTCCTGGGGGAGTAATATACAGTTTGGTGACTATATTAATAACACTATATTGCATATTTGAAGGTTGCTAAGAGAGTAGATCTTAAGGGTCCTCATCACAAGAAAAAAATTTTGTAACTACATATGGATATTAACTAGATTTTACTGTGGTGATCATTTTGCAACATATGCGAACATCAAATCATTATATTGTATACCTCAAGCTAATGTGATGTTGTATGTTAATTATACGGAAGGAAGGAAGGAAGGAAAGAGGGAAAAGAAAAGCACCCATAATACCAAGAATTAGGTAAGCCACAATTTGAATGAGAAAAGATAACAACTGACACCAGTATTAAGATGATTTAGATATTGGAATTATTTGACAAAAATTTTCAAGTGGTCATTATAAAAATACTCTAACAAGTAGTTATAAATTCTCTTAAAACAAATGAAAAAACAGAAAACCTCCATAAAAAAATAGAAGTTATACAAAAGAAACAAATGGGAATGATAGAACTGAAAAATACAATGACCAAAATAATAACCATATACATAATACCATGAAAAAAATCATAGATATGATAAAATGAATACATCAAGGTCAAGAGCAATATGCGTAGAGTCATATTAAATGTTTACTGTGTGCCAGGTGCTGTTTCAAACATTTTCCTTGTATTAATTCATTTAATCTTCACAATAGTCCTATGAAGTAGATATTATTATCCTTATTTAAAAAAAATTTTTTTTTTAGAGAGAGTGCACATGGGGGTTGGTGTGGGGCAGGGGGAGAGGGAGAGACAGAATTGGGGCTCAGTCTCACAACCCTGAGATCATGACCTGAGCCGAAATCAAGAGTTGGATGCTTAACCGACTGAGCCATTCAGGTGCCCCAATATTATTATCCTTATTAATAGATGAGGAAATGGAGACACAGAGAGGTTGAATGACCTGCCTAAGATCACACAGCTTACTAGTGGCAGAGCCAGGCAGGCTGTTCCAGTGTCTCTGCCCTTATCCACATATAGTATTGCATAGTATTATGCTGCCTCTTTGAGAGAATTAAATTTATTTCAGTGAGAAATCTCAATGCGCCAGCTCTGCCAGGGCTGCAAAAAAAGTCTTTTTGGGGGCGCCTGGGTGGCTCAGTTGGTTGGGCGACTGCCTTCGGCTCAGGTCATGATCCTGGAGTCCCTGGATCGAGTCCCGCATTGGGCTCCCTGCTCGGCGAGGAGTCTGCTTCTCCCTCTGACCCTTCCCCCTCTCATGTGCTCTCTCTCTCTCATTCTCTCTGTCCCAAGTAAATAAATAAATAAAATCTTTAAAAAAAATAAAAAAAAAAGTCTTTTTTTTTTAAATTTTTTTTTTTTAAAGTCTTATAACTGGTCACTCTGTCTCCTTTCCCATCTCCTTGTACAATCCAGTCTTAGCAGGGTTGCCAGGAGGATCTCCATTTAAAATACAAATCAGAAATACCATATGATCCAGTAATTCCACTGCTGGGTATTTACCCAAAGAAAAGGAAAACACTAATTTGAGAAGATACATGCACTCTTATGTTTATTGCAGCATTACTTACAATAGCCAAGATACGGAAGGGAGCCAAGTGTCCACTGATAGATGAATAGATAAAGAAGATGTGGTATACATACACAATGGATAATATTACTCAGCTATACAGAAGGATGAGATCATGTCATTTGTGACAACATGGATGGACCTAGAGGGTTATTATGCTAAGTGAAATAAGTCAGATAGAGAAAGAAATATCATATGATTTCACTTATATGTGGAATCTAAAAAACAAAACAAATGAATAAACAAACAGAAGGCAGAATCAGACCTACAAATACAGAGAACAAACTGGTGGTTGCTAAAGAAAAGGGGTGGGAGGGATGGGCACAATGGGTGAAGGAGAGTGGGAGGTACAGGCTTCCAGTTATGGAATGAATGAGTCACATGGATAAAAGGTACAGCAATAGGAAATATAGTTGATGTATTGTAATAACATTGGATGGTGACAGATGGGAGCTACACTTGTGGTGAGCATAGCAGGGTGTATAGAGTTGTTGAAATCACTGTGTTGTACAACCGAAATGAATGTAATAGGCCATGTCAACTAGACTCAAATTTTAAAAAATTAGAATAAAAATAATCAGATTGCTTCACTCCGCAGCTTGAGTCTCTCCAGTGGCTCCCTGTCACACTCGGAATAACATCTCACCTCCTTGCCAAGACTTAGAGGTCCCACTTGTATGTTCAGATTCCACTCCTCCCACTCTTCTTCTCATTCACCAACCTCCACCTTCAGACTTCCTTGCTGTTCTTTGAACTCATCCCTGCCTTAGGCCCTTTGCACTTGCTTTTTCCTCTGCCTGGAATACTTGTTCCCCCAGATTTTCATTTGGCTGGCTCTATTTCTCACCTTTCTGCTCAAAACGCATCTTCTCAAAGAGGCCTTCCCATGACTCCATTTTATCATCTTCAGATTAATCTTGCTATTGTTCCGTTTTTATTGTCTTACATCTTCCCCACTAAAACTGACAAGAGGGGAGGCCTTGTTTGTCTTGTTTACTGCTTCATCACCAGTAACTAGAACAGGGCCTGACTTATTGTAGGAACTCAAATATTTGTTGAATGAACAAATAAATGGATGGATGAGTTATACAGTTTTCATTACCTGAAAACTAAAGAAATGAAGTTTTTGTTTTGAGATCTAACTTAAAAACAATTTTTTAAAGATTGTATTTATTTATTTGACAGAGAGAGAGAGAGCGTGAGCACACACACAGCAGGGGGAGGGGCAGAGGGAGAAGCAGACTCCCCACTGAGCAGGGAGCCTGATATGGGGCTTGATCCCAGGACCCTGGGATCATGACCTGAGCTGAAGGCAGACGCTTAACGACTGAGCCACTCAGGTGCCCCTGTCACCCTAGTTCTTATCTGTGTCCCCCTGAAACCCTCCTCTTCCTTGCTGAGGATAAAACCTACTTTTTTTCCCCACAAAGACCACTTCCAGACCCTCTCTCTGTGACATCGACCCAGAGACCTCAGGACATTCACAGCCTCTTACAGCTGCTGAGTACCAGCCTTGTCATGCTGCGGGGCTCTCCAAACTGCCTGCTGGGTGCTCTGGGGCAAAGAGATGCTGGCTCTAGCCTTTCAGGGGAGTACGGGTCAGAAAGCGAGAGAATACATTTGCACAAGGAGAGTTCTAACCCCAACTGAAATAAGTCTCCTGTTTGTTCCCTTCCTTAACTTCTCTGTTTTTGTTGATGTAATTTTTCCCTCTTTGTGATTGATCGATGAATAAGACATTTAAGAGGAAGAGCTGGTTGGAAGAACATAATGACTTTACTTGAGGTTAAGTTTGAGGTTTCAGTGGGACAGGCTGGGCTGAGTCAACCAACCGAGGACCCTGCCTTGGAGAGGGCTTTCTGATCTGCCTCCTTTTTGATTCAGGCGCTCATCAGAATGACCACGGCAGGCTTTGGAACCATCTCTGGGCTGAATCTCTCCTTCCCAATCTAGTCGGGGGTGGCTTTGGAGTGACATTTTGTATAGATTCTATCTATTGGTAGCATAAATTGAAATAAGGAAGTCAAGAGGCAGAGATGATTTGGAGGGAGATTAAAAATTTAGATTTCTACATACTAAGTAAGAAGCACCATGTAAGTGAAAATATCCAGTAGACAGCCTGAGAGGAATGGCTGGGAGGTAGGATAGAAAGGGCCATTGGAAAATGCCTTAGGAGGAGTTGCCGTCCATGGGGGTGTGGTGATAGGTGAAAGATAAAGAAGGATGAGATATCCTGGGACCAAAGGATAGGAAGAGAGCCATTGGTTGAGTCTCAGGAAAATGCCTACACTTAAGGGGAGGGAAGCAATAAGGAGACCAAGAAGGTGTCACTCTGGGGAAGAAATTGGATGAAGCAGTCTTAAGAGCTAAAGGAAGTTTCAAGAAAGAAGTGGCCAATTCTGTCATATTTTATAGAGAAGTTGAGAAGAACGAATGAAAAATGGCTTTGGCAATTGAGATGATAATTATAATGAAAAGTATCCAAGAAAATGAGCTGGAAATGCCCTTCTCTGGCCTATGATGGTGCCAGAGACTGATTTACTGCCCACATCAAAGTCATGTTGACATGATGTGTGTGTTTCCATCCTTAAGAAGGATTAATAGCAGAATAGCCAAAAAAGCCAGTTAGATTCAACTAAAATATGAATGCTTCTCATATTAATCAGACTGTGACTTATGACCAAAATACCTAAATGACAGATACTAACCTGTGATACCTTTTTTCACCCAAAAGGTAACAATACTGGGCATAGAAGAAAGAACTTTTCTTGATACAGATTCCATCATAATGATATCTGAAAAATAAAGGTTTTCTTAAAGATTATGTCAAACCACCGACATGTTTTACAGAAGCCACAGAATAGACTAGCTAATGAAGATCTGATTTTTTATCTGAGTTTTATCTATGACGCCATTTATTAGCTCTGTTGGGTAGATAGTTTCATACTATTTCATACACATTAGCTTTGAAACGGGCTCGCAAATGTTCTACTCTGCTTTCCCAACTAAGGACACTCCAGTCTTAGAGAGATGTGACAAGGAAAGCCTCCTGCTGCCTCCGCTGTGAACCTTTTTAAGGTGAAGGGGAGCGACACCCATGTTCCCTCTACAGAGAACCAGACTCGGGTTCTCACAAACCCAAGGAGGAAGTTGGTTCCCGCTCTGCAGCCCAGGCACTTTGCTGAGCTGGGAAAATGCAGCTGCTTGTCTAGGCTCACAGCAGCAGGGCAAAATTTTTTCAAATGAACTATTACCCAATGTTTAGTTTGGCAAACGCTTTAGCTGTCTTCATTCCCTTGTGGGTAGCAGGCCCCTTTCCTAATTTGGCTTCCATCCCTTCTCACTGATTTTCTGATTTCATGGATTTCTCCTGATTTTTCTTTATTTAAAAGAAATAACAAGTAACAATAGTAATTGAATGACAATTATAGCACGATGCACCTGATAACACTGGAATTTCCTTTTGCTTTAAAAATACATAGAGCCTGGGTACCTGGTCTCTGGAAAATAATTCAAATATGCTAATTAGGTGAATACTTAGAAATTTTAGTTCAAAGAATAATTAAAACAGTTCTATAACTCTGTGTGTGTAATTATTTTAAGTATTTCAACGGACACCTACATGTCTAGACATTTAAAGTGTTGAAACAAGAAAACACTGTGACTTTCATATTTTAACAAAATCACTAAGTAGAAACTAATATTTGGTTCTAGTATCACCCAAATTATTCCAGGCACTAGGATTTCATTTGAATTATGGGAACTCTTTGGTAGCATTGATATTTCTAGTTTGTTTAGTTTTGCATTTTGGTGTCACCCATTTTGTGATTTTTCAAGATGTTTGTTTATTCTAACATTTCAAATAGAACAAAAATGATAAACCTACCTGGCACTTCCTCTCGTGCCTAGCCTCCGGGTGCCAAGATCAGGAAAAGCCAAACGTACAAGCTAAAAGAATAAACCAGATTTAAAACTGCAATTGGAAAATTTAGAAATGAAACTTATAGTTTCACCTCTTATAATGTTTCAGTTGTATTTCCCCTTTTTTTATTATAAAGAAAATACGCGTAAATGAAATTTGGAAGAAATCAAGACAAGTATAGGGACAAAAATATACCATTCAGAGGAAACCATCATTTAAACCTCAGTGTGGTTCCTTCCAGCCTTTTTTTTTTAAAGATTTATTTTAGAGAGAGAACACATGCGTGGGGAGGGGAGGAGCAGAGGGAGAGGGAAAAGGAGCAAAGCAGACTCCCCACTGAGTGTGGAGCCCATCACAGGGCTAGATCTCAGGATCCTGAGATAAGGGCCTGAGCTGAAACCAAGAGTCGGTCTCTTAACTGACTGGGCCACCCAGGCGTCCCTCCCAGCGTTTTTTTCAAGCCTCAGTATGTGTATGGATTCTGTGGGTATACATAGGAAACAACTGGTGTCACACAATTAGTATGTGTGCAGTTTTCTTTCGACTTTCTCCCCTCCACAGCGTACCATAAACATTTCCCCTTGTCATTAAGAATTCTCTAAAAACAAGGGATTATTAATAGCTGCAAAAGAGTCCATCATGTGAGCTGCCATAATTTCACTATTTTCCTCTTTTTCCAATATGATAGTCATTTTCACTTTTTATTATTCATTTGTTTACCTAGTTTTTTCATTTTAAAGGTTTTGGTAGCAAGTGCTATTAAAATATTGAACAACATAACTACTTCCGACTCAACTTCTCATCTCCCAGATATGTTTTTCATGTGCTTTGTTAACGCTAACATTATATTTACGACTAATTACATTAAAAAAAAAAATAGAAGCCTGTTCCAGCTTCCTAATTAGAAGAGGTTCGTGACATGCATGGTATCCAAGTACATGTCTATTGAAAGTGGAAATCCTGGAGGCTGGTGGAATTAGAAAAATACAGAGCATGGAAGGCATGGTGTTTTAAGCAGTCAAGTAACGATTTCCACTATTTTTCTCTAGTCCCCTCCATAATCATTCAGCTTCTGCTTTTGCTTGGTTTCTTGTTACATCCCTCTTTCTTTTTTCCCTTTTTTTTAAAAAAAAGATTTTATTTATTTATTTGAGAGAGCATGAGAGATAGCAGGAGTGGGGGGAGGAGCAGAGAGAGAGGGAGAAGCAGACTCACTTCTGAGCAGGGAACCTGATGCAGGGCTCCATCCCAGGACTCTGAAATCATGACCTCAGGCATTTAGCTAAAATTGGGTTTTTTAAAACTCTACTAAGTCCTCAACTCAAATCACTCATGATTTGAGCTGAAGGTAGATAGTTAACTGACTGAGCCACCTAGGCATTCCCCCCATCCTTCTTTTTTTCTTAACTTCTAAGCAGCAGGATTTGACAGTGTTGTGTAATGTTTCTCTTGTCTGGTTCCAGGCCCTACCTCTTCCTACGGGAAGCCACCCAAGCCCGGGTGTAGAGGAAGAAAAATGAAGGAACAGGAAAGGCAAGTCTTGCACAATTAAACATCAAGGTTATGAGGCTAAATTGAGAGGTTCCTTCAGGGAAGGGGTCCAAAATGTACAGATGAAGAATAAATGATAAAAGAAAAAGTCAGCAAGTCTAAAAATGCAGAATTAGAAGCCAGAAATTCCTACTTTCAACCACAGATTCTGAAAATTCCATCACCTCTAAAGAAAATCACTTAAAACCTTCCCTCTATATCTAGTTGTAAAATAGTAGGTACCTAAAAGAATTATTATAAACTATGAAGCAGGCTCAGATTCAAGGCCCTGGGAAATAATCTGGTGTTTTGGAGGGAGAAGCAGAAATAAATTGCCCAGTTGTCTGGCAGCATAATAATCTGCACATTTTATTTTATTGAGTAATTCTAACCCCAGACTATCCTGTGATTTCATTTTATGATCAGGTACACCACAGTTAAATTTAAAAACCAACCGAGATGATTATTTCCGAAAAATGTAATAAGTAAGAAATGTATATATTTAATATATGGACAGCTCACATAAATTAATGGGAAAACAACAATACCCCAATAGAAAGTGGTCTGGCGATAATATGTATACACACAAGATACATATGACCAAAACACATGCAAAAGTGCTTACCTGTCCTAATCATCCAATAAGTACAAGTTGAAACAGCTAAATATAGTTCTTAACCAACAAATTTTCTAGGTCAAAAATATTAGGGATTTGGTTAAGAATATCAGGAACTACCATGAGCTGTGTATTGGTTACAATGGTCTAGAATCCCTCCTGGGGAAGTTATCACGTACAGATGGAGACTTATGGTAGAATAAACATTATAAACAACCGAAATTTCCAATAAGGGAAATGGTTAAATGAATTCTGGAACACCCAAAAAGTGTTTGGCACCATTTTACAACATTTATTTTAAAATATTTTAGTGTGAAAATGTTTATGATATTCTAAGTTTAGATAAATCGGCGTGTGATTATAAAAGTTAATTATTTCTTGAGTGTTTCCTATGTGCCAGGACCACTCAATTTTTTTATATGCATTCTCTCATTAATTTCTTAAAAGCATCTCATAAGGTAGGTACTGTTATTAACGTTATGAATCGTTTCATTTTACAGTTGATGATGTCGAGGCACAAAAAGATGAAATCACTTGCCCAGGGTTACAACCTAATTAGTTGGATTCCAGGCTTAGTGTTGTTAAAAAGTATACCATATTGCAAAATCAACAACACAAGAAACAACAAGTATTGGCGAGGACGTGGAGAAAAAGGAACCCTCGTGCACTCTGGGTAGGAATGCAAACTGGTACAGCCACTTGGAAAACAGTATGGAGGTTCCTCAGAAAGTTAAAAATAGAACTACCCTATGATCCAGTAATCACACTACCGGGTATTTACCAAAAAAATTAAAAAAAAAACAACCCACGAATTTAAAGGGATATATGCACCCCTCTGTTTATTGCAGCATTATTTACAATAGCCAAACTATGGGAGTAACCCAATAATGGAATATTATTCAGCGACAGAAAAAGAATGAAATCTTGCCAATTGCAATGACTTGGATGGAGTTAGAGAGTATAATGCTAAGCAAAATAAGTCAGAGAAAGACAAATACCGTATGTGGAATTTAAGAAACAAAACAAACAAGCGCAGGAAAAAGAGAGGCAGACAGACAATACAAGAAACAGACTCTTAACTGTAGAGAACAAACTGATGGTTACCAGAGGGGAGGTGGGTAGGGGAATGGGGAAAATAGGGAATGGGAATTAAAGAGTATACTTATTATGATGAAAAAAATGATAAAAAAAATACCATATTGCATGCTGTCTGCCTATCCACCTGTCCATTCACCTCTCGGTCCACCTATCCATACATCAATCTTTCAATCCCTTCATCCACATAATATCTATCCAACAGGATAAGACATGAACACAACAGACAACAGATAGCAAAGTGAATTGTGAGACACACATCTTAGGGGACTTGTACCCTCAGGCATTTAGCTAAAATTGGGTTTTTTTAAAACTCTAATAAGTCTTCAACTCAAATCACTCATGATGGAATAGAGAGAGGAGGAGGTCTAAGGGGATTTCTTGTGGCAAGATGACCTTTTACCTGTGAAGGGTTGTGGGACAGAGTGTGGCTCAATCAGCTCAGGCCTAGCAGAGGAGGATTCACAGATTCACTTGAATTCTTTTTTTTTTTT